CGATGTCGCTTTCGGCAGGCTTCTGGAGATTTTGTCCTGCAGCCTCGAGAAAGGCTCGTCGTCGGCGCCCTAGTGTAATTCTCCACATTTTGGTCCTTTTTGCTCCAAATTCACTCATTTTTGCATCTTTTTGCTCCATTGACCTTAATTCATCATTCCGGCAACAAAACATCAAAAATACCTTTTTTTAAAGTGCAATGTCATTAAAAATAGTATAAAAGAGGTACAAAAATCTTAACATATTTTACTTTGGTCAGGGATGCTAAATTTTGATTTGGAATTGAAATTGGACAAGATTGGGGTCAATTGGGCTAAGATTGAGGCTAATTTGGGGACATTTGGGCCTTAAAAGAGCAAATTGGGATTTTTGGTCAAATTGGGTAAAATTGGTCAAATCTGGTCAAATTGATGATCAAAAATTGAAATTGGGAATATTTGAGATGATTTTGGGTTTTTTTTAGAATTTTTTGAATTTTTGAAATTTTTAGGTCATGAGGGGTATTTTGGTAATTTTGGAAAAATTTGTGGGTATTTTGGAAATTTGGTAATTTTTATGAATTTTGGTCAATTTAGGTTGTGATGAGGGTATGAGATGATTTTTGTGCAAATTTGAGTATTTTGGGTAATTTTGGGATTTTTGGCAAAAATTAGGGTTGTAGGGGTATTTTGGTAATATGGTGATTTTTGGCCAAAATGGGCCAACAAGACATAATTGTCTGTTAACTTTGCATTACAGGACTGCTGAAGACAAAAAAGCAGACGAACCTCAACTAAACATAAACCTATAGGATATTCTGTAATCTTTAGGACTCTACTACTCTCAGGATGAATTGTTGAAGCTTCTTTCCTTGACAACAACACTTAAAATTTTCAAGAATAGACGGTAACCTCAATCGAGAGTTTTCTTAAGTAGCTTTGACTACATAAGATGTAATTAACTATAAGGGTTTACCTTTATATGAGAAGTTGAACCCCATCATAGGTGACATCACCTAAAACCTCTTGTTGAGGGGGTTTGCTTTTCATGAGGTTCTCTTCATGGAGGTGTCTTCAAAGTGTCTTAAACCGACTATACTTCGGTGAAATACTTTTAAGCAATCACTATAAGATTCATCTCATGAAATTATTTTCCCCCACATTCTTTTTTTGTTTGACTCTATTATTATTCTCCTCCTTCATCCCTGCATTCCCACTTCTCGTGATCATTGACATGATCTGAAATAAAGAAGCATTCAGAGAGAAGGTCAATATAATTGAAATCAAACTGGCGACTCCACAATGAAAATAAGACATCAAGCAAACAACAAAATAAAGACCGACAATGCTACTCACATAATAGTTGAAGATTCAAAAGTGATCAAAGTCAAATCAAAATATGAACTGACATGGGTGGATCCTTATATTGAATACCTAAAGAATAGATTAGTGCCTCCTACTTTAAAATATCATATAGTGTTCAAGATGAAGTGGCTTAGTGCTTACTACTCAATGATAAATTATTACAGAAATCTACCACTTCTTATATACGAGGTGCTAAAAAGTTGCTCATATACTAAAAGAAGTGCATTCTGGCTTACTGCTCGATCGTGCTTTTAAATGCACATATTCATGAGTAATTTTGAACACGAGCCAATTTTGAGCGAGCCTAACACATGCCAAGCCGTATCTTTCTCAAGATTGGCTCGTTTACAACCCTAACCACCTATTCATAAGTAAGATACATACACATCACTTGCCAAAGGAAATGATACAACAATTCAAAGAGTATTAAATAGAGAACATCTCCCAAAATAATAAAATTCATCAAAGTTCTCAAAACAAAAAAATACCACATAAATTTTCTCTTCCCATAAATAAATTCTAATTAGCTTTCAAATAATAAAAATTAAATTAAATTAAAGGATCCAGAAGCCTGGTAGAAAAAATCTCGAACAATAAGTTAGTTGTCGGCTTATCAGGACATAATCTTATCCCTGTTCACGTGTATGCAGGAAATCTCTATGGGCCGCCTACGATATGATCCTGCAATCGAAGGGAAATGTGGAATCCCACATCCATGTTCATCCAACATGCGAGCCCGACACATAGACCACACATAATTGACTCACCATGTTGACATGCTTTTTCAAAATGGTTTATACATTAAAGTCACAACCCTTGTTCCATTCTCACTTGTTTTATTTTAGAAAATAATAGTGTACAACATGTGTATTGATAGTAGGCTTGAACTTGTTTTTAGTTCATTTATCTTCATAATTGGCTAACACAGTTTCTACTGCTAAATTCAAATTTGCTCTAGAGATGATGAAAAAAATTGCTTTCATAATTTCTGAAGAATTTTAAAATAGACTATAATGTTGTTTTAGATTATTAAATATTCTGATTACTTTCATGTCCATTATGACACAAATGGTGTTGCCCTTCTATGACAAGCTTCTAGTTATCCACTTGAATGATGTCATCATTTTTAGTACTATCAAAATTGACCACCATCATAATCTATGATTTGTATGGACTCTTTTTAGGAGTAAGTTATATATTAAGTTATATATCAATCTTAATACGTGTTTCTTTATCATAAGATTGTACTTCTAGGCTTTGTTATTAGACGCATTTGTTGACGTTGTTAAAGTCCAAACTATTATTGATCAATTTTAATTTCTCGACATTTATAGTGATCATATCCTAACCACTTTCTAAGGGCGCCTCATCAAAATTTTCAAAATCTTTAAGGCTCCTTTGACAAGCCTTCTAGAGAAATAGTTCGTCCAATGATTATTGTTAGCTAATGAAAGCTTTCAACATATTATTTTGAGAACGACTAATGTCTTAGTGCTTCACTTTCTTGGTTGCAGTAAAATCATTAAGATTACCTGCAAGCTTTAGATATCAACACCACGAAATTTCTTTGATATATAAATCATCATGTCGCTTTCTATAATGATAATCTTCACTACACTGAATAACATAGCCCTTCATTTAGAAGGCTAGCACACCAAATGGACAACCTTTCTCTATACATACTCTTTTATCGTGCGCAATTGTTTCAACATTCTTTAACTGAGCCACATAGTCTTAGGTTATTTCACTATCTCTTGATTGATACATTGGCTTTAGCATTTAGAATTTGCCATATGAAAATTGACAACCCCTCCCACCCAGACTTTCACTTTATCTTTCACAAGTTTTTTTTTGATGATGGTCTTCCCTTTTTCTCTAATTGCTGCTGCCCCCACAATGTTTAGCTCTTCAAGGGGTGTTCCATAAATATGATTACATAAATTTTCTTATTTGGTGATTGTAGTGGTAATTCCAAAAATATGATTTATTATGGCTCTTGTGTCTTTTACCATCTATTAATATTTTTTGTTGGGCCGATGCATTTGATAGTGTATAATTGAGCAAACCGTTTTGGACACTTAATTTACTTTAATTTTATAGGTTGTAATCCTAATGTATACAGTAATAACAGAAATGACATGTACTTTTTTCAATATAAAGTTGAGACGTCCGACGGTGTAAGAAACCAATCTGAAAATCAAATTTAGTATACGGGCACTTTTGGATCAATTTATATATATATATATATATATATATAAAAAAATACACGTGGGGGGGG